GGGGCGAAGGCCTCTCCCACGGGTGGCAACGACAGCGGATAGCCTGCAACTCACCTAGAAGGGTTGTTGGTTGTAAGAGGCTTGTTAGAGCGATGAGAGGAGATGTTCGAGTGAACTGAACTGTAGATTGGGGGTACAGAGGTCCCCTATATATACTACTGTACATCTGTGGCTACGTAGTACTATACAGTACATTCCCAGGATGCACAGTCGCACAGAGAAGCAGTGCGTACACAGCGAAGCTGTGTGTGTACCACATGAGTAGTACAGCCTCGGTTATTGCAGTAACCGGCTGTGCCGTTCCATATCTTGTGACGGCTGTGTTAGGCAAGCTGTGTAAACCAGCGCCTGTTCAACAATTATAGCCTGTCTTCGGCGCTCTATATGAGCCCGATGTATTGCTTGGTGAATTTTGACAGCTGCTCTTGTGTAGACCGCGGTGAAGCAGGGATGAAGCAGAGCCCATCTGATAAGCCATAGCTATTGGTATACTAGATACATGTACGAGTTCAGGGCGCTTGTCTCCTCCGGATTTCACGGATACTCCGCTCCTGTAACTCTAACTCGCGCAGAAATTCTCGGAAGTGCCGCCACGTGACAAAATGCCGGTGACTCGTAACTCCAACTCTTTGCCGAACAGGCCCTAAGACAAGCCCAACATGTTCGGCCCGCGCTAAGATGCTCGGCTTGGAACGGTGTCAGCGCGCTGTAACGACTAGCTGAAAATGGAACGTGCGGGAATTGCACCACGCACAACCGTTGGACTACCCGTCCCACTTTCCCAGCCCGTTACAGCCACTAAGCACCGTTACCTCGGGTGACTAAGCCGGGTACTGCCGTACTTCTCTGTGACGGTGCGCCATCCGTGACGCCACCGTTACACGCGCGCATCGCCGGACTCGAGAGCGTGATCCATTGTGTTGGTCTCTCATTTTTGTCTCTATTATTGCGACGGTTTGCACCTCTCACATCTCCCATATCACCGTTCTCAGCCTTGTTGTACCGTTCCCGCCGCTCGTCTACTATCCTTTGTCCCGCTAGTCACCGGTCGACTATTCCTCTCCCGCTAACACACAGTTACAACTTCGCTCCAGGCTTCAGAATGTCGCGTTTTGGCCGTAATTCATACGAAACATCTTCAAAGGTAAGGTCCAAGCTTGGCGTGGCGATCTTCACCGGCCGGCACACGCGTATGGACGAGCCGCATCATCGTTCGACCAGGTCATCCCGGTAGAGTTCGCACGGGACGAGCTCGGCGCCGACCCATTCGAGCACTGCGTTGCACGAGACACACGAGATGGAGATGGAGAACGCTCGAAAAGACTCATTCCTTCGCATCTGCACTGCCGTGGAGCCGTTGGAGACGAGCAGAGATGAGGAGATGAGGCAAGAATAGAGAGTGGTCGCGCGAGGATCAGACGCGAACGGCGCATATTTCGAGCCGCAGCACGAGCACATCACGACCTCGCGCAGATAGGAGCAGTACGCACACTACTCCTCAGCCGGCGCGTCGATCCATGAAGACGGATCGGAAGGGTGGTGTGCGTACGTTCAGGACCAGCAATCCGCCGCTTCTTATGGCTCCCATGTTGCGGTCGGGAGGTAGCGGCGGGGGCGGCCGGCTGGACAGTAGTCGAAGGCCGATTTTGACATTCGGGTATCCGGTCATTCTCTGGCCAACACGTGTCGCGGAGCGTCTGCGTCATGTACTCGAGCATGAACTTGTGGTCCATGATCTTCCTTGCGAGTACCCGGTCCTCTTCCGACGGAGTGTCGTCTGCCGGACGATACTTGTCGAAGTCATCGTCCTCATCTACCGCGTTCGCGTCATCCCCGAAGAAGAAAATTTTGGGAACAGAGAACGTCATTCTCTTGTCGGGGGGCGGCGTGGGATCACGAGGTGGAGGCATCGCCTTTCGCAAATCGTCTCGTATGACCTTGTAGCGCGCCCTGAGACTCTTCAAGATCATTTCAAGGAGGTCGTCCATCGGGCTGTCGAAGAGCAGAGGACTATAGGGGAACTGGAGGCTGAGGAAGGCATCCAGTTCGACCGCCAGCGACTTCCACCCGCATGTGAGTAGGCGGCCGGGGCCTGCGTAACTGTTGAAGTAGTTGGCGATGCACGAAGCCGGCGACTCGCAGTTGGAGCGGAGGTAGCGGAGAGAATAGTAGAGGAGGACGTGGAAGAACGACTCCAGTTCGTCCGCGATCGTCACACTTGGGCTTGAAGGGTCCGTAAGGAGGTTGACCGACATGAACTGGTACGTGCCCTAAAACAAAGCAACGAGTCACCCTTCTTGTACAACTGCGGGGCAACGAACAAACACACTTACCATCTGGGACGCGCGCGAAGCGTTTGATGCGGCGCGTTGGTCATCCACAGGCTTCGCAAGCTCCCAATCACACAAGATGCCTGTCCACACTATCGCATTCTTGGTGTCATCTTTCCCTTGTCGAACCCTTGGATAAATGAGGATATTTCCGGCGCTGATATCGCGGTGTAGAAGGAGCGTCTTGGGGTTTGTGGCTGCCTGACAATGTGCTACGAGAGAAGGGTAAGTCAGCGATCCCCAATGTCCACAGATTCCGCTTACCTTGAACAGTATCGAGAACGATGGATGTCAGCTGCCGTCCATTTTGGGCGTTCCTGAGCGAAAATGCGACCTCTGCTACCACGATGCGGTAGTGTTGGTGTTCTCTCAAGGGATGATCAGAGCATGTGGCGAGGTTGCGCGTTCATTCATCTCCGGGCTCGCCCGCTGCCCCTCGCTTTCGCTTCCTACTACCAGACGAGGCCGACTCCACAAGGGTGGCTGACGATGTTGGAGAACCCTGGCTAGAAGACGTCGAGGGTGCAGCAGAGGATGGCTGTTCGCGTCCCCACCAGTCCGCGGAGACAGTGACCTGATCATCGATATCCCCATGGCATACGAGGGTCGGCACGTTCTCTACGCCCGCCTCATTCAGCTTCTCTAGGACATCTCCCTCCCTGCAGGATATCATGTATGCTGCGCGCCAGGCGTCTTTCAGCCACACGAAGCGACGCGTCTCGCAGTCGAGAGCGACGTAACCACGGGTTCCGCGCCCTATGGCCCCATCGGCTCGAAATGTTGGTTTTCCGACCAGGTAGTAGCGCCAAGACGAACCACAGGGTACTCGGAGTTTGTGGCGTGGCCAGTCAGTGGCCAGAGAACTGCGGAACAGCGTGCGTGCATATCGGAAGACCATGCGGTCGCCGGATACCTCGCTGTCGAGGTCGCGCTCGGAATGATCCTCGTCGGTGGAGTGCTCAAGAGCGGCTATGTCCATCCGCAGGAAGTCAACGTCGCCGGGGAGGACGCGACTAGCACTCGGATCGAACCCGAGTGTGGAGTCGTCGAGGGCAGAGATACGCTGTAGGCAGTTTAAAAGCGCCGTTGGGTTGGTGTACTAGTCGACGGATGAGGTGACGATAGCTCCGGCGCGGTCCCAGCGAATGAGTCGGAAACTACGTCCGATGACAAGAAGGACGAAAACGAAAACGCGTTGTTGTGCGGCGAAGAGGACATCCACTATGGTCGATATGCGATTGAAGACCCGCTGGCGTTTTTTCTGGGTCCCACTGTATGGAGCGTAGACAGTGAGATCGAACGGATCGCCACCAGGGAAGTAGGGGCTGAACACCACTGGGACAATCTGGTCGGTCCAAGATGGTGTCGTAACCACAGAGGTTGAATTGTGACGGAAAATTGCGGCGTCCGTGATAACAGCATGCTTTCTGTTCTCTTCCGGGGACGGAAGGCTCGACACGGTAGCACAAGGCAGGATGTTGGCAGTGTTGACAGTGTTGATCTATGGTAATCGTCAGCGAAATCTGGGACAATGTGAAAGGCAGGACTAACGAAAAGCTCGGAAAGCTTCGCTTCAGGCAGAGAATCAGCTGTTTGGAGTGCTCTGAGAGCCATTTGTGTCAAGGTTTTCATACGAGATACGAATTCTCTGCACGGAAGGAATGCCTGGCAGAATTGGTCGAGGCTGAGTTCGACAGCCGATCTCGCCATCACGGATAGAGGTAGGTGGAAACTTGGGGTACAGTGGTAGAGGCAATGTGATGTGGGCGGAAGACGAGGTAGTCGTCATGGAGCCAAAAGCGGCGCACAATGGTGGTTCTGGTCCAAGTCGAACATATGGACACTTTGGGAAGTAAGCGACGGCAAAGCCCCACCAAGCTGCCAGCCGGTGTTGGCGTCAATCGTGCGATGTCCTCGAGCTCGAAAATGGGATATCAGCAGTAAGAACAGATAAGAAAATAATTGTCAATAACTCGTCGCTAGCATTATCATAAATTCCCTTCCAAAACTCATAGCGATCAGTGACGGAGGGAGCACGGATGAGGGTCTTAATGGCGCGACATGGCGAACGATAGCTTCTCCCGGTCGCTCAATCTCTGTAAGCAATGAGCTCTTGAGTTTGCGTCTCTTTGCCTAGTATAAGCTATTGAGAGCAAGCAGTGGATTTCCATCATCGCAGATGGAAGAATCGATAACGACGTGGCTCTTATCATCAGCGTCTAAATTACTTCATATGTCCTGACAGACGCCGAATGCCACCCTCACAGACGTTGAATCACTCCGACGGTCGCCGCGCCGCGGGACCAGGGTCACACCTCTGATGCATCCCACACATCCCACGTCTTGCAGATATAGATGTAAAAGCAAACGATTTGTGTATACTATACTGAGACTACTCTACTAGGTGGGATGCAGGGAAACAGTGAGGCGATAAGTTATGGAATGAACAGAGACCAAGGCAGAATGTCGCTAGTTTTACAGGATACTGTGTCTCTAAATACGGCACAGCGCACGAGATGAGCAGAGATGGCAAAGAATCGAAGAGGTACTACATTCGACGAAGGGGTGGGCACGCCAAAAGGGCGCGAGCGGACAACACGGGAGAGACGGAGAGGGGAAAGGTGATAAGACATCACTCAGGCGTAACCAAGGGAAATGAAAATCCTATGATGCAGCCTTCACGGGGAGGGTGCACGGCTTGACACGCGTGCGCCGTGTTGACGCATGGAGGCGCGCAGGAAGGGAGACGTTGCGTTCAGGTCCAGCGATCCGCCGTCGCTTGTTGCTCACGTGCGTAGGTTGTAACGCTTGGTCGCTCGCACTCTGGCCATGAGATCCAGAGGCGGAAGTCTGCGTCTTGACAGCAGGTGGGGGTTCGCGATCGTCGTCTGACCACTCAGAGCTACTGAGCGTTTTCGTGATGTGCTCGATCATGAACTGATGGTCATGGACATTCATCGCTCGTTCCCGATCCTCCGGGGTTGGAGAGTCATCAACTACTGGTGGAGGGGCCGGCGGTTTAGCTTGCATCCGCTTCGCGTCGTCGCCATGGTAACGAATTACAGGAATATGGATTGGTGCCAGCCGCTTATCGGAAGACTCGGGCGGAAGGAGCTTGGGCGGCGGCGGACCTCTCGCCTTCCGAGCGTCGTCCTTCCTGACTTTGTAGAGCGACTGGAAGCACCTCAGGATAGTGTCAAGTATCTCGTCCATCGGACTGTAGAACAGGAGCGGAGACGGAGGGAATTGATTGCTCAGGAAGTCGTCCTCTTGCATAGCTAACGACTTCCACCCGCACGTATGGAATTGCCCTGGGCCGTCGTAGCTCTCGAAATAGTTCTCGATGTACGAGGTCGGGCATCCGCAGTTTGAGCGAAGATAGCGGACGCAATAGTAGAGGAGGACATGGAAGAACGACTCGAGCTCATCCGAGACCTTCACCGGTTGCGAAGGATCCCTCAAGATGTTGACCGACATGAACTGGTATGTTCCCTATAGGTTTCCGTCAGTATTTCCGGGGGGAAGGACCACGAGAAGCACTCACCATGTGCTCCGCTTGACTCGCTTTTGATGGCGCCTGGTCATCGTCAATGGGTTTCGACAGCTCCCAATCGACAAGGAGACCGGTCCAGACGATCGCAGGGTTTGTTCCGTTGCTGTCACGTTTGACTTTAGGATATATGAGGATGTTTCCGCCGCTGATGTCACGATGAAGCAGACGAGTCTTGGGATTCGTAGCTGCTTGGTGATGGGCTACACAGTGATACATCAGCATAGGAAGAGCGATACGTTCCACCCGGAGTCTCACCTCGAATACCGTCCAAGACAATGGAAGCCAATTGCCTCCCGTTCCGGAAGTGCTTCAGTGGGAGCGCAACCTGTTCCACCACTACCCGGTAGTGTTTGTGCTGCCTCAGGGGGCTATTGGAGAGCAGCGCCCCCTTCCGGTTACGTCTGCCGCGACGTCGCGATGGCGTTATGTTGTTCCGAGTGTCGTCTTCCCTCTTCCTCTTGCCGCCAGAGGTGGATCCAGAAAGACTGCGAGACGATGAATTTTCTGCAGCCGCGGGTTGCAGAGATGGCGACGGGATAGAGGAAGCATTCTTACGCTCCCACCACTCAGTGGTAACCGTTGCTTGATCGCAGACATCGCCATGGCAGACAAGCGTAGGCACTTGCTCCACCCCAGCCTCGTTGAGCTTCCGCAGGACGTCCCCTTCGCGCGAGGCCACCATGTAAGCCGCCCGCCACACGTCTTTCAGCCACACAAACTGACGGGTCTGACAGTCTAAGGCGACGTAACCGCGTGTCCCGCGACCTGCTGTCCCGCCCGCACGGAATACAGGTTTCCCGACGAGGAAGTGATGCGTTGTTCCATTGTCGGTAACCTCGAGTCTGTAGCGGGGCCAATGGGGGGGAAGGGTGGAGCGGAATAAGGTCCGAGTGTACTCGAAGACCACAGAGCCCTCCGCGTCCCCCATATCGAGAGGGCGCTCGGTATGATCCACATCGTGCGCGCTCTTCATGGCAGCGAGGTCCATTCGCAGGTAGTCAACATCCCCGGGGAGAACGCGGGTAGCGCTTGGATCGAAGCCTAATGCAGCGTCATCGAGAAGGGAGAGGCGCCACAGGCAGTCACAAAGCTCGGAGGGTGTTTCGACGTAGTCGACGGAGGGAGTGACAATGATCCCAGCACGATCCCAGCGGAGTAAACGAAACCGGCGACCGATGACGAGGATCATGAACAGGAAGACCCGGTGTTGGGCAGCGAAGAGGTGCTCCACGATCCTCATGGCGGGTCTCATAACATTGTCCTTTTCTTCTTGAATCACGCCGTACTCGTCTTCATATTCAGCGTCGTCGAACGGGTCGCCACCGGTGAAGTGGCGTGCAAATACGACCGGGACCGTTTCGTCGTACCAAGAAGGCGGGAAAGATGTGGGTTCGCTGCGAAAGAACGCCGCATGCGTCACATTCTCAGAGCCGTTGGAGAAGACACGCGAGTCTTGAGGCGAAAGTTGTGAGCCAGAATCGAGACAGCCGCTGTTGATTGCCTGGATCTGTTCCAAATGTCAGATCGCCCCTCAAAGGTCCAGATCCAAACTTACGAGTCGCTCAGAGATGTCTTGCTCAGAGAGTTCATCTGCGTCTTGAAGATTCGTGAAGGACTGTTCGTGCGCCCTTTGCTTCCACGGGAAATGCTCCGTGGATGCTAGGAACGCACGGTGAAAGTCTTCGTTCGGGAGTTCTAGGACTGAGCACGACATTAGAGTATGGAGACGTCAAATATGATCGACTCGGTAGAGATGTGAGGAGTGGTGGTGGTGGGCAAGATAGGTGTAGGAGTAGAGCAAAGGTTGTGGTCGGTGGTTACAAAGGAAAGCACAATGACCGTACGGTTGAACTTCCGGGCGCTTGAATTATCTGCCGAATGCGGGATCGGCTATGATTCAAAGAGACGCCCAGAGGCTATTGCACGCTCACTACAAGGTTCTATCTCCAGCTTCGTCTAGCCCTTCATACATTGAAATTTTTTTCTTAACCAAGCTACGATGTTAAATGTATGTGGGAAGCTACATACGCTTGCCAGCACACCACAGTAAAGATTCTTCTTGCTACAATTCGATTTGACAGTGTAAGATAGCGTGCTTCGGAAAACGCTACAGGAAAACGAGATCTGCGCTGATACAATGCATGATAGAAAGACGAGGCAGCGGTCAAGGTGCACGTCTGACCGCGTCCTGAACGCAGGGGCGTTGAGCTCCCGGGTACATGTAGTTGCAAAGCCGAAGGCCGGGTAGGGAGATATAGGCTCCTAGCAACGATAACGTGAAGCGTCAATTGGATTTGATCAGCGACGAAAGCGACAATCCCTTACCTTCTCTCACAGTTTGTCAGAAACCTCCTGCCCGGGTCGCACACCACCTGGCAACACAATTGGCTCGGTGTCAAATAGAGACTCGCAGTCCAATAGCGCAATGCGGTCTCCAACAGAGGGCTGGTAAGGCCAGGAACTCCCCAATGCCTTGTTGAAGAACTCGAGCACTATGGGGTGAGTCGGCATGGGAGCTGTCTGAACGTTGCCAGTTGCTTTCTTTGGGGGAATACCGACGGCACTAGAGGGCATGTCGAGCTTTGCAGCCTTTCGAGGGGGCGGAGAAGGAGAGCCTTCGCGGACCAATGGCGAACGTTGCAGGGGCTTTCTATCGAGCGCTTCAAACAGTGGCTTATAACACTTTTCATAGTACGAGTTGAAGGTGGAGATGAAGTCCGCGATCAACCCATCCAAAGCGGGATTATTGAAGACGATGTTGAAGCCATCGGGGTACGCCGGGTGCGTGTAGACAAGCCGACCGTGCACGTGCATTATCTCAACCTTGAGCATCCCAACAATGATCCGCTTCTTATAGCGTCTATAGCTGTCGTACGCCTTATGAAGGAATGTCGCCACGTCTACCGGATCGTCTAGGTTCGACTGGAGGTAGCGCACGGCGTAATATATCAGGATGAGCAGGAACGACTCCAGATCATCGCAGATCCGGACAGGCTGTGACCCGTCCACGAGGAGACTGACGGACGTGAATTGCCAATCGACCTGCAAAAGGGAATCAGTAGGTGCATCAGGAAAACGTCACGGACTTGTACAGGTACTTGGGGTACTTGGCCAAGTACCTCAAGTATCCCAAGTACCTCAAGTACCCCAAGTCCAATGGACTTGGCCAAGTCGGGTGGGTCGACTTGGCCAAGTACCAGGTACTTGGCCAAGTCCTCCAAGTCCCTATTCAAGTTCATGCCCAAGTTCACTGTGAGATGTATTGAATAAAGATGATATGCATGGAAGTCAATCAAAGGACAGCTGCTCTTGATCAAGGTCAAGTGTACAATATTTGTTAGCGGGTGCAGCGGCGGCAAAAAAAAAATAGCCACCACAGGGAATTGAACCAGCAACCTGCAAATTGAGTGTCTAACACAACATGTTCAACCACTACACCACAGAGGCTCACACTG